TATATATATAGGCAATGATTGTAACCGTTATATCGTAATATGATGCAATAACATTAAAAAATCATCTTATGACCATTTGTTTGATCCAAATTTTGAAATATACACTCTTTTCATTCTAATGAATAATCACAAAAAAGAAAAGATTGAAAACACATATTAGAAAATTTTAGCCCAAATATCATAGGTTGTCCATTTTGGTGAGATGATTAGATCTAGGTCTTATAAGGATTTTTCCATTTCCAATTTTTTTGGATGACTTTATTATCATTAGATGAACAATGTTAAAAAAGAAAAAAATGATTTTGAGTTTATGAAGGCTAAAATCTTGAAATTCACAAAATGAATGGCCTAGATTCGTTTTTGGAGGGGACTCGTTTCGATCATCTCTAAGGTTCAAATTTAAATTTTTTTTTGGGGATTGATTATTGAGATGAAAGAGTGTGTGTGCAAAATTTGAGGTCATTCAAATAGCACAAACATGGTTTTTTTGAAGTGTTGTTTCATTATACTATGATACAACCGTTGTGATGGATCATTGCTCTATATAGAGTGGTTTATATAAGAGTGGTTTCTATAAGGTTGCAGCCTTAAACAATCCAACCTACAAATTTATCACATCATTAGTTTTGGTATAATTTTTTTTTAGCATTATTTGAAAATCTATTTTCATATCTAATTATAAAATTTTAGACACCAAAAATGATTTAAATAAAGTAGATCTATAAATATATGAAAATCTTGAAAATGGACTATCTAGATAATATATTGCAAGATGCATTATTTCTAAGACTTAAAATCTTTTTTTTTTATATTCATACATCTCGATGTCGAGATGATCAATTAGAGAAATTTTCAACATTAAAACAACATTTTTTGATGGACTTTTGAGGTACATATGTAAATCTACATTTTAAGGTTGTAACCTTATATAAACTTTTTCTTTTTTAAAATTTTATAACTAAAAATATAGTTATATGTATTTAAATATTATTTAAATATTTTATATTAAATATTATTTTAATAATAATACTATTCAGGTTATGTCCCAAATCTAAATAGTATTTGAATCCAATATTTAAACCCAGACCCAACCCGCCGGATTCAATTTTTTGAACCCATGCTTGGAATCGGGTCAGGTGCGAGGTCATTGCCAACTCTATTTGAGGTTACATTTTTCTTTGTTTGAAAGGAGCAGTACCCTTCTCACTTACTAATAACCCGCAGCCAATCTCTCTTCTCTATCATATGGTCATATTAGTGCGCTTCAAATTTTGATTGGGTGGTGTTCCAAAAAGTTATTTAAATAAAACAAAAATTAGTATAATAGTTTTATAAAGTGGGCATTCAGAGATGATCTAAAAAACATAGATAAATTTAAAAAAAAAAAGACAAAAAGAAATAAAACCGGTTTTAGAGAGAGACCAATGCTATTTCAAAACCAGTTCAACTCAGACTAATTCTCTTCTAGACAATCGTGGTCGGAAAACCACCTGAATCACATGGGCTGTTAGTCATAGAGATATTGACAACTAAACTTTGATTCCCGGTTTAATAAATATTAAGATTTGCTGATAAACTGAATTGAATGGCTTTTGCCCTCCTCTTTCAACTGATATCTCTTAAATCGTTTTGGCAAGAAAACCTACACTATTTTACACGGCCAAGAGATTCCTATCCCAGTGATGAAAAGAGCTCAATTTAGTTAAAGGAAAGTATCTCCATGATTGCTCAGCCTTTAATTTTGTACAGTTCTATTGGACAATCTTATACGGGAAAGGTTTCTATTTTTATATTTCCCCACGTATATAAGTTCTATACTTCGCCATGCAGCTCTCCAATTTAGATAAAATAAGCATTTTTCAGTTTTTATTTTAAAAATTATATAATTATGAAATTCCGTACGGGTTATCATCTCAATCAGGTGTACCTAAAAACATAGATAAAAAATATTTATAGTAAAATAAAATGACTAAAATACTATTGAAACTTTTAAGGGTATTTTGCTCATTTTTTATCAAAAATATTTTTTTATATTTTACGATTATGAGTTTATGAGAGGAGTAGACACCCAAAATTTATTATCAAATTATTTTGTAAAAAGATTAAAAATAAAATAATATAAAAACATGACATTATAATTAGATCCATCTCAGCCGTTCATTCTGATCTAATGGCTGGAAATAGAGAAATACAAACCCAGTATAGGGGGAGTATAGGAAGCTTGCCGAAAACTATACTATTAGGTCTAGGAAATATATACAAAGAGACTATTTACTTTTAATACAAAGAAGCCACAATCACTTTCGTCCATTAGATTTTCGATCAGATGGTTGTGAGTGTATTATTAGCTAGACTCTAAGTTCAAAAAAGAATTTCTTGAACTTTGTAATACGCCCTAAGCCATCCAATTTGACATCTAATGGCTAGTGCCTATTGTGACCTCCTAGTACAAAAAATATAATAGCCAATGCCTATTGTGATCTCCTTGTACAAAAAATAAATAGTCTCATAGTATACAATCCTTTATATCTAACATTAATAAATTAAAAAAACTTATTTTATGCGGCTAGACTGCATGACTATATATACGGTCCAAAAAGTGTAAAGCATCCATCTTAAAGATGGATGCAAGTAGGTGTTCCATCTAAAAAGAATAGAAACTAACAGTCCAAATGCTTTTTTATTAGAATTATTATTTTTAATTTTAAAAATTGATTTATTTAGTCATATTCATGATCTCTATGGTAGAAATTACATGTCCTTAAAATTTAAGTAAAAAAATCCATCTTAAAAATAGATTTATTACTAGGCCCGTATTTCTACATATGGGGGCTTAGCCGCATAAAAACCGGGGCAATAAATTAATATTCTGGCGCATATTTTGGAAAGCAAAAGACACAGGGTCTGAATGGTCATTTGGAAGAGAAAATTAGGCATTACCCATTGCTATTTAATAATAAAAAAGAACTTGGACTGGTCAATTCTTCAAAGCGGCTCCTCTTGCCGTCAACACGGCGACCTCTCCGTCCAAAAGCTAAGGGCGACACCGTTCCCTCTCGCTCTCTTCTCCCCTGCATAATAAAGAGTGATCCTCTGGTTCCTAATCTCCAGCCAGAGCAGGGGAAGAGAGAGAGATAGAAGAGAGGGACGCTTGTTTCTATTTTGCCTCTCTGCATCACCTCATCTCCCCTTCAACTTCTTCTTCGTCTTCTTTTACAAACCCAAAGCATACATCATCTCATTGCTCTTTCAAATCCAAGGAGAAGAATAGGAGAAACTAAAGCGAGGGAGAGAAAGAGAAAGAGGCTTTCTTTTTGTTTCTCTGCAACACCCAGTTTCTTCCTTTTACAATAAACCCAACCATTTAATATTTATCTTTTCTCTCTCTAAACCCATTAAAACCCACTTTTTTTTTATCTGGGTTTTCTCTTTATTTATCTTGATTTTGTTTTTGTGCCCCTTTAATGGCTTCTTGGGTTCTCTCGGACTGTGGTTTGAGGCCACTTCCAAAGGTCTCTCCTTTTCCTAAGCTTACCCCAAGGCTCAGACACTCTCTTCCTTTGGGTTTCTCTGCGAAAAGAGCAGATCTCAATTCAAAGGTTTGCAGGGTTGTTTCTGTAGGAAGGGGTGGTTTAAGGGACTGGAAATTGAGAGTGAGTGCTCCGTTGGATCTGAAGGTTGTTTCTTTTGATGAGAGAGAAATAGAAGGGGAGAAATTCGACCCTGCAGCTCCCCCTCCTTTCAAATTGGCAGATATCAGAGCTGCAATTCCAAAGCATTGTTGGGTTAAGGATCCATGGAAATCAATGAGCTATGTTGTGAGAGATGTTGTTGTGGTTTTTGGGTTAGCTGCTGCTGCTGCTTATGTCAACAATTGGTTGGTTTGGCCCCTTTATTGGGCAGCACAGGGCACCATGTTTTGGGCTCTCTTTGTTTTGGGTCATGACTGGTTGGTCTCTCTCTCTCTCTCTTCTGTCTTTTATTAGGTGGTATTGGTGCTTAAATAGAATGTGAATTTTTTAATGGTGATTGTGGATTTTGAGGATGTTAAATTTTGGTTGTTGTGCAGTGGACATGGGAGCTTCTCTAACAATGCTAAACTAAACAGTGTGGTTGGGCATCTCCTTCATTCCTCCATTCTTGTGCCTTACCACGGTTGGTAAGTTTTTGTGACCTTTTAAGCCTTTTTCTCTGTTGAAAGTGATTTTTAAACTGCACATTATCCCTCTTAAGGAGAGCATGTGCTTAATTTGCTTCTCTTGCAATGGATGATGAGAATTTTCTGTTCAATTATTTGGACTTGTATATTTGATATTTCATGTGGATGTTTGGTATTTGGTGCATAAAATGGGAATATTTGCATGGGAGGAAATGGATCTACTCTAATCTTTTCCTTCTGAAGTTTTTCTTTCAGCTCATTAAATTGTCCAAATTTCGTGGAACCCAGGTTTTATATACTAGGCTCTTCACTATACCATGTTTCTTGTTGTAAATTGTCATGTTATACTTTTAATTGTAATGCTGATTTAGTGTTGAGTATGACCATTTTCCTACCAGCTTTCTTAATATGATTCTGGCAACTCTTTCTTGTTAATTGTCATAAGTTCTATGGAAATAGCGAGGTGTCTTTTACCTGTACGTGATTCTGCAAAATGGCCATGCGGTGCACTTTAAATGCATTCTGTGTGTGTATTGTATTATTCACATGGCAAACAGTGGTTAAGTCGATGTTGGCATTGCAGGAGGATAAGTCACAGGACCCATCATCAAAACCATGGACATGTGGAGAACGACGAATCGTGGCACCCGGTGAGTATCACTTTCCCTATATCTATCCACAGAATAAATGATTATTTCCCAACTCTAATGAACTGAATCTTCCTATTCTTTCTCAACTCGTAGTTATCGGAGAACATATATAGGAGTTTGGACAATGCTACACGAAAGCTTCGGTTTACCCTGCCTTTTCCAATGTTTGCATTCCCTTTCTATCTGGTGAGTATGGAACTTTGTGCTTCTAAGATTAGTCATGAACTATGCAAAATTTCTTTCGAAGGAAAAATGAACCATGCTAAGCTTCTTCTTTTACTAATCTTTAAGCCAATTTTTGATGGATTTTAGTGGAGTAGAAGTCCTGGAAAGAAAGGTTCCCACTTCCATCCAGAAGGTGATCTTTTTGTCCCAACTGAGAAGAAGGATGCAATCACCTCCACCTTATGCTGGACTGCAATGGCAGCTTTGCTAGTGGGGCTCTCATGGGTGATGGGTCCACTGCAACTGCTCAAGCTTTATGGTGTTCCCTACTGTGTAGGTTTTTCTTGTATCTTATTATATCAGCTGAATTTGGATATTCACAAATTCAATACTTAGTTTCAGGCATTTATTTGAATTGGGTTCTTGGTGCAGATATTTGTTATGTGGTTGGATCTTGTGACTTACTTGCATCACCATGGCCATGAGGACAAACTTCCTTGGTACCGTGGGAAGGTAAGAATCAGATGGCTATTTGAGATTGTATTTCTTTGCAAGGTTCAGGGCCATTGGTTTGTCTCGAATTTGTTTACATATCCAAAATGCCAAGAAAAACATGCAACGGAGACCTTAATATTTTTTTTAAAAATTGTTAACAGAAACTCAAATATTGATGCTGCAACTTGAGAAATGGCATTACCTTTCTCTTTCTTTTAGTTGGCACATTAAAGTATTAGGCCTCAAACAAAATATTTTCTATAAGTAGTTCCAATTTATTACGCGTTAATTACATCTCAAAAGCTTCAGTTATTGTGGAACATTATGTGTTTTGTGGGTTGGTTGAGGAAAAGGTCTTGAAACTTGGAGAGTTCCTTTAAATTTCCTTCAAGTTGTAAGGAATCTTGGGCTTGGAATAGTTAATCATTTTCTTTAATGTGATGCCATTACAGGAATGGAGTTATCTCAGGGGAGGGCTTACAACAGTGGACCGTGATTATGGAATATTTAACAACATTCATCATGACATTGGTACTCATGTGATTCACCACCTGTTCCCACAGATTCCCCACTACAACTTGATCGAGGCTGTGAGTACTTCACCTAATTGAGATTTTTATTTCCTTCCCTGCATGACTTCGCATCTACTTTACTTTATTATTATTGTGATGTAACGATTCTTATCAAGGAAGGTATGGATCATTGAAAAATCATTGTGCATTAGGACTGCGAATAGAAAAATGATAATAGGCGGGGTGATGTCTTTTTATAGTAGCTCCCACTCTCTCCATTATCATCCATCATATCGCCCAAGGGCATGACAAAATGAAATGTTGTTTTTCTATTGGCCATTGGATTGTGGTATGCTTATCATTAAGTTCTTTACGGGAAGATATAATATGATCCATATGGTCATAATAACAACAATAACCACGTGTTTTATAATCATCCAAGTGATGTGTTCAACACTTGAGACCTTTTGGGACTTGATCCCCTCCATCACCATGGTGATATGGTGATAACTTCATGGTCATGTTGTTATTATGCTTGTATGGATCATATTTTACAGACCCTTTTATTATTAATATTATATTAATTATTATTCTGACTATTATAAATACTAATTTTTAGTACACCTTTTTTTGTGGTTATGTTGCATCTCCTTCTAGGATGCTAGGATATTTCTTAATGTAAGTTTTTTTTGATGTTCAGACTGAGGCAGCTAAGCCTCTGCTTCGGAAGTACTATCGTGAGCCGAAGAAGTCAGGGCCTATACCTTTTCACTTGCTTGATAGTCTCCTAGTAAGTATGAGACGGGACCATTATGTTAGTGACTCTGGAGATATTGTATACTATCAGACCGACCCAGCATTGCGTGGTGATTCTCGAGATTAGGCACTAAGATATGAAGGCTTGCAGATCTACCATCCCTCTAACCACTAATGTATTTTTCCAGTTGGGATTGATAATGTTGGCCTCTATTTTTGGGCCATCACATTTTTTTTCTCTGGTCTAGAGAGAGATGATGCCTCACTAGAATGTTGGGAAATGTCATTCTGAGAATGGGGAATTGGGGCGTCATTATTCTAAGTTTCCTTTGTGTTCTTGAATCAGGGAAGCATTGCAATTCATTTTGCTGAAGGTGAAACTTGTCTTCAGCATCACATAACCAAATTTTGGCTTAGTATGAAAAGATAAAATGGAAAGTTTGTATTTCTTCTGATAAATGAATGGACTCCGTTCAGTTGTCTTTCTTTTGTTGTTGGAGGCTATGATCAGTCCTGAAGCTTTTGCTGTGTGCCTCTCATTTTTCTAACGATTTTTATCCTATTACTTACATGGTTGTGTCCTGCTCCACCACATCCACCATAGAGAGAGAGAGAGAGAGAGAGAGAGAGAGAGAGAGAGAGAGAC